ACTGTCCTTGAATGGTTTAGGTCGGACCTTTCTCACCGTCTTCACTTTGTCTCTACAAATGGCTTCTCCTCCACCCCCCGCACTGTCTCATGTGGTGTCCCTCAGGGCTCTGTCCGCGGTCCCCTCCTCTTCACCCTCTACATGCTCCCCCTTGGTGACATCATCCGCAGACATGGAGTTAACTTCCACATGTATGCGGATGACACCCAACTCTACCTTTCCTCCTCTACTCTCAACTCCACGACCACCGATGTCCTGACAGCTGCCTGTCCGACATCGAGTCTTGGACGAGAGACAACTTTCTTCAGCTCAACGTGCGAAAAACCGAGGCCCTCCTGATTGGCTCACGTCAGCGCCTCCGCACCTCAGGCGCCGACACCATCAGCATCCAAGGCTGCACTCTCCACCTCTCAAAGTCAGTCAGGAACCTCGGCGTTTTGTTCGACCCTGAGCTGTCCTTTCTCCCTCACATCCGCACCACAACTGGCACCGCCTTCCATCACCTCCGGAACATTGCCAGACTACGGCACTACCTCACCTTTCACGTTGCTAAAACCCTGGTCCACGCCTTTGTCACCTCAAGGCTGGACTATGGGAACTCTCTCCTCGCCGGCCTTCCCGGCACCTCCCTCCACACTGCAGGTCATTCAGAACTCTGCAGCTCGTGTACTGTCCCGCACCAGGCTTCGGGACCACATCACACCCACCCTCACTCGCCTCCACTGGCTCCCCATCCCCCAGAGGATTGATTTCAAGATCCTCATCCTCACCTATATGGCCATCCACGGCCTTGCTCCCTCCTACCTCTCTGACTTACTATCCCCCTACCTACCTGCCCGTACCCTCCGTTCCTCCGGCTCCGGTCTGCTCCACGTCCCCCGCCCCAATCGCCCTACCATCGGTGGTCGGGCTTCAGCCTCTCAGCCCCCAGGCTCTGGAACTCCATCCCCCAGTGCCTTCGCCTTGCTTCCTCCCTCTCCTCCTTGAAGGCCGGTCTCAAAACCTTTCTCTTTGACCGAGCCTTCAGCTCCCCTCTCGACTCTCTTCCCCCTCCTCGCTTTCTCCCTTCCCTCCCCTCACCCTGACCATTTCCCCCCTCCTCGCTCCCTCCCTTCCCTCACCCTGACCATTTCCCCAATGCTCGGCTCCTGACCTAACTGTGCAGCGCTTGGGATGTCCTCCTGACGTGAAAGGCGCTTTATAAATGGAATCTTGTTGTTGTTGGAAGCAGGAACCTGATTGTTAGTCGATCGGCAAATTGCTTTTCTGGGGGTAATAATCCCTTCAAAAAAATAATAATTTGGTCATTCAATCTGCAACTGTTTGTGAGACAGTGCTATGTACAATTGGCTGCTTCATTTTGGCCACAAAATATATAGTCAATTCACTTTACAGCAGTATATCCTGTGAAGTGCTTTGAAACATCAAGAAGACGTGATAAGGCGCTCTATCAAATACAAAGATTATATATATGTGCCTACATACATATATCATAGAATCATAAAATTATACAGCACAGAAGGAGGCAATTTAGCCCACCGTGTCTGTGCCGGCTCTTTGAAAAGAGCTTCCAAATCAATCCCACTCCCCCCCGCTCTCCCCATAGCCCTGCAAACGTGTCCTCCACAAATAATTAGCTACTTCGCTCTTAAAAGCTGTTATCGAATCAGCTTCCTCCACCCCTATCAGGCATTCCAGATCCGAACAACTCACTGTGTGAAAAAAAATTCTTCTCACCTCCCCTCTGTTTCTTTTAACAACTATTTTAAATCGGTGCCCTTAGGTTACTGACCCACCTCCAGTGGAAATAGTTCCTCCTTGTTCACCCTATCAAACCCCCTCATAATTTTGAAAACTTCTATTAAGTCTGCTCTTAATCTTCTCTGCTCCAAGGAGAATAATCCTAGCTTCTCCAGTCTCTCCTGATAACTGATGTCCCTCATTTCTGGTTAATCTCCTTTGCACCCTGTTGTCCAATGCCTTGACATCCTTCCTAAAGTGCGGTGCTCAGAACTGAACACAGTACTCTAGCTGAGGCCTAACCAGTGTTTTATAAAGGTTTCTCATAATTTCCTGACTTTTGTATTCTATGCCCCTCTTTATAAAGCCTAGTAACCCGTATGCTTTTTTAATAGCTTTACCTATCTGTTCTGCCACCTTCTGTTCCTTCATCCCCTTTAAGATTGTACCATCAGCTTATATTGTCTCTCCTCATTCTTCCTCCCAAAATGCATCACTTCGCATTTCTACACATTAATCTTCATCTGCCCCCTGTCTGCCCATTTTCCAGTCTGTCTATGTCCATTTGTAGTCTACTACTATCCTCCTCACTGTTTACTACTTTTCCTAGCTCAGTATAATTTGCAAACTTGGAAATTGTATTCCTTATACCCAAGTCCAGGTCATTTATATGGGTCAAAAACAGCAGTGGTCATAATACTGATCCCTGGAGGACATCACTGCACACTTCCCTCCAGTGTGAAGAACAACCGTTCACCACCACTCACTGCTTTCTGTCTCCCAGCCAGTTCTGTATCCATGCTGTATCTCATCCGATGTCTCTTTAATACTGTGGGCTTCCATTTGCTTACAAGTCTCTTATGTGGCACTTTATTAAACACCTTTTGGAAATCCATATAAACTACATCAACTGCACTACCTTCATCCACCCTCTCCGTTATTTCATCAAGAAAATCTATCAGGTTTATTAGACGTGATTTGCCAACAAACCCGTGTTGGCTGTCCTTTATTAACCCATAAGTGAAAATTTATTTTGTACCAGATTATAGTCTCTAGAAGTTTACCCACGACTGATAATAGGCAGACTGGCCTTTAGCTCCCAGGTTTACCCTTATGTTCCTTTTTGTACAGGGGAGTAACATTTGCAACCCTCCAGTCCTCTAGCACCACCGCAGTGTCCAAGGAGAATTGAAAGATTGTGGCCAGAGCCTCCAATATTTTCACCCTTACTTCCCTCAGTAACCTAGAATGCATCCTGTCCAGACCGGGTGACTTACCAACCTTGAGCACCAACAACCTTTTTAGTACCTCCTCTCAAGTTTATTCTTATCTTATCCAATTTCTCTACCCTCTCCTCCAATACGGTGTGGAGGGCACTATATAAATCCAAGTTGTTGTTGTTGTGGCCTTGGCTGCATCCACTTTTGTGAAGACAGATGCGAAGTACTCATTCAGTACATCAGCCATGCCCTCTGCCTCCCTCTTTGGTCCCTATTTGGACCCACCCTAATAACGTTTACCCACCTTTGAGTAACGTTTTATTCTTTACATGCTTATAAAATACCTTAGGGTTCCCTTTTATGTTACCTGCTAATCTTCTCTCATACTATCTCTTTGTCCCTCTAATTTCCTTTTTCAGTTCTCCTATGTGCTTTCTATATTCTATTCAATTATTTTCTGTATTTTGGAGCTGACATTTATCATAAGCCTCCTTTTTCTATTTTATTTTAATCCCAATTTCCTTATTCATCCAGGGAGGTTTGGATGCCGAACTTTCCTCTTTGTGGGATGTATTTGTTCTGCCCAAAACTATCTCCTCATTGAAGGCTTCATATTGCTCGTTAGCTGTTTTACCTGCCCATCTTTCTTTCCAGTCCACCTTGGCTAGGACCCTTTGTAACTGCCTGAAATTAGCCCTCTTCCAGTTGAATATCTTCACCTTTGATTGTTCCTTGTCCCTTTCCATACACACTCTAAACCTAATGATGTTGTGATCACTGTTATCCAGATGTTCTTCTACTGAAATCTGCTCCACTTACCCCACTTAATTTCCCAGAACGAGATCCAGCTCAGCTTTCTTCCTCGTTGGGCTGGAAACATACTGATCCAGAAAGCTATCCGGCACACATTTCAGGAACCCTTCCCCCTCCTTGCCCTTTCCATTGTTATTTTGCCAGTTGAAGTCCCCCATTATCACTACTCTTATTGGTTTGCATTTTTCTGAAATCTGCTTGCAGATTTGCTTGTCTATCTCCTTCCCACTATTTGGTGGTCTATAGTATACACCTAACAAAGTAACTGCTCCTTAACTCTAACCAAATCGATTCTGTTTTCTGGACCCTGTAGCATGTCGTCCCTTTCCAGGGCCGTAACCGTGTCTTCAATCGATATTGCCACCCCACCCTCTTTTTTTCCTTCCCTATCCCTCCTGAATACATTGTAGCCAGGAATATTCAACTCTCATTCCTGCCCTTGTTTCAGCCAGGTCTCTCTCTGTTATTGGCACTACATCATGCGGTAGCTTAAGCCTGCAGCTCACCAATCTTATTTGTCACACTCCACACATTTACACACATGTACTCCAAGACCGACTGAGTCTGCTCTACATTTCTCCAGCATCTAATCTCTCCTTTTTCTGGATTACTCCTTATTACATGCTATTCATCTCTCCCAGCCCTCTATGTAACTTGTTTGTCCTTTCTGATGCTACATCCCGATTCCCTTCCCGCCTCAAAATTAGTTTAAACCCTTCCCCACAGCACTAGTTAACCTACCTGCAAGGACATTGGTCCCAGCCCTATTCAGGTGTAACTCATCCACCTTGTGCAGGTCTCACCTGGCCCAGAACTGGTCCCAATGATCCAGGAACCTGAAGCCCTCTTTTCTCCACCATTTCTCCAACCATGCATTCATGTGTTTGATCCTACTGCTTTGATACTCACTTGCACGAGGCACTGGGACTAATCCAGGACTAATTTATGTTGTATAAGTCCAGCTGTAAAATAGGTGATTCTTTTTAAAGCCCTGGAGGGTTACAAGCCCAGAGAGAATTGAGGAGAGGAAGAGAGAGGAGGTTGTGAACCTGGATAAAGTTGGACTTTTTCAAAGCCCAGTTTCTAAATTCCATCATCTCATCCATTAGGTCTGTAAGTCAAGATTTGGAACCATCCCGACCCATTTCATCGCCGGGCGGACACACGCTGAGCCGGGGACACACACGCTGAGCCGGGCGGATACACCTGTAGCATTATCACTCTTACCGTGTTATAGATTTTCAGTGACCTCTCGATGTTATCCTTCACGCTTGCCTTCATGACTCTCTCTACGTTGAGCAGCCAGTCCTCTACGTTGCCTGTGGGGTAGATGGTTTTCACAAATGCTACCTCCTCGCCTTCTCCTGAGTACATGTGTGTGATGTTGAGGTCTTCCTGAAACTTCAACTGTAATAAAGCAGCAAGTCATGTCTATGATATACACACAGCAAGAAACTCATCCATGGTGAAACATACTCAGTGTAAAGACACCCTTACTAATTGAATGTGAAGTGTGCAACTCACATTCATAGAGCACTTTTCACATTGAGAGAATGTCTCAAAGTGCTTCACATGGCTGACTGGGCAGCTGAGTGCTGGTAGTAGCGGGAGCCGAGGAGTGATGGGGAGGAGGGAGGGCCAGGAGAAGAAGGCCAGAAATATGTCATGGTCAAAATATGCCAAGGACCATGAATATGCTGGCGAATATGCCAGTGAAAAGAAATGTGAACAGCACGGGATGAGCAGGATCTTGAATTGTAGTGACAGAATAGAGAAAAGATTATTCTGTGATTTATGCTTTGTTTTTTCCACTTACTCGGGCTATATTTTCAAAACACTTGCGTAAGTGAGGCTGGACAGCAGTGGGATCTTTGGTTTGAGACAGGATCTCTAGCAGCTCATCATCTGAGAGGAAGTAGAATCTGAAACGCAGAGCATTCAGCTCAACACAAGCCTGGTACAAGTCACCCATATCTGCCACTCCCACACACCATTGCAAACAAAACAGCATTTCCTCTCCACCCAAGACCAATAATAGAATCATAGAATCAGAATTATACAGTGCAGAAGGAGGCCATTCAGCCCATCGTGTCTGTGCCGGCTCTTTGAAAAGAGCTTCCAATTTAATCCCACTCCCCCGCTCTCTCCCCATAGCGCTGCAAACTTATCCTCCCCAAATAATTATCTACTTCTCTCTTAAAAGTTGTTATCGAATCGGCTTCCACCACCCTTTCAGGCAATGTATTCCAGATTCAAACAACTCGCTGTGTGAAAAAATTTCTCCTCACCTCTCCTGTTTCTTTTAACAACTATTTTAAATCGGTGCCCTTGGGTTACTGACCCACCTCCAGTGGAAATAGTCTCTCCTTGTTCACCCTATCGAATCCCCTCATAATTTTGAAAACTTCTATTAAGTCTCCTCTTAACCTTCTCTGCTCCAAGGAGAATAATCCCAGCTTCTCTAGACTCTCCTGATAACTAAGTCCCTCATTCCTGGTACCATCCTGGTAAATCTCCTCTGCACACTCTCCAATGCCTTGACATCCTTCCTAAAGTGTGGGGCCCAGAACTGAACACAGTCTCCAGCTGAGGCCTAATCAGTGTTTTATAAAGATTCATCATAACTTTTGTATTCTATGCCCCTATTTATAAAGTCTAGTATCCCGTATGCTTTTTTAACAGCTTTATCTATCTATCTTGCCACCTTCAAAGATTTACCCATATGAACCCCAGGTCTTTCACCCTTTTAAGATTGTACCATCAGCTTATATTGCCTCTCCTCATTCTTCCTCCCAAAATGCATCACTTCACATTACTCCACATTAATCTTCATCTGCCCCCTGTCTGCCCATGTTACCAGTCTGTCTATGTCTATTTGCAGTCTACTACTGTCCTCCTCACTGTTTACTACTTTTCCTAACTTAGTATCATCTGCAAATTTGGAAATTGTACTCCCTGTACCCAAGTCCCGGTCATTTATATAGATCAAAACGTAATGTAACTACCATCTGTCCCACCCAGTTTAGTAATGAACACCCGCCCCCAGGCCAGTAACTTGTCAGTTTCTCTGTGAGTTTCTCAAACACAACTCCTGATGTAAACGTGAATCTGTACCTTGGGAAAGAAGCCCTCTTTGTCTCCAAATATTCACTCAGCCCTTTCTGCACCAGCTCCAGCAGTTTGTTACATTCCCGCAGGTTCTCCAAGAGCCTTCCATCAGGGCAAAGGTCAATAATCTGCAAAACAGAAACAGGTACAATCAACATCAAGCTGTCAACAACTCAGTTCTGTAGGACAAAGTATTAAAACCTCCTGCAACAGAATTCTCCAAGTGAAAATGATTTTTTTATCCAGGGGATTGTTACAGTCTGGAAAGCACTGCCTGAAAGGGTGGTAAAAGTAGATTTGATAGTAGCTTTCAAAGGGAATTGGATAGGTACTTGAAAAGGAAAAATCTGCAGACCTATGGGGAGAAAGCAGGAGTGGGGCTAGTTGGTAGCTCTTTCAAAGAGCCGCCATAGGTATGATGGGCCCAATGGCCTTGTTCTGTGCTGTAAGACTCTATGATTCTATGATAGGAACAACACAACAGGTGCCTTTTTAAGCAAAGATGGTGTTGTAACTAATTTTAGTTGCCAAGGTTTCAGTTTGGTTTGCTGTCCAGTCCTGTGAGCACTGTCACATACTATCCTGTCATCTCCATGAGTGCAGTGCTCTGATACCTCACCAAGTGTATATCCTTCGTGTATCAGCTCAGAGAGTCAATGCCAACAGCCTTTCCCAATCCTGACCCAAACAGACATGCACAACACATGAACCTTTCAAATAGGGTGATCAAGAGATGAGCAACAATTAAACAAGCTAAAGTTCTTCAATCTTGAGAGGACAACTCAGAGGGGTCCTCATAGAGGAGTATAACATGTTAAATGGGATTGAAAAAGCAAACCCAATACAGGTTAAGAGTTGAAATGGGCAATTTCAGGAAAACAGGATTAAATCCACAAGCTTCAGTCACAGAGGCAAGGGTGCTACTAACTGAGTCAAGTTTAAACACTCTATAAAGATAGTGAGACACAGACAGCATCAGAAAAGCAACTCATTCCTAGGGCTTCTGCTTAAGTCAAATAAATAGTTTGGAAGCAGAATTAGCAGAGGAGTGGAGCAAGATCATAATCTGGGGACATGCACGTCAGGTGTGGGAGCATAGAAAGGGCAGAAGTATCTTCAAGTTAATCGTGATATTGAAGTACAGTTGCAATGTTACCTGTCTGTTTTCATTTGCACTCTTCATAATATTCCTCCACAAGCGCTCCATAGCCTGATAACGCTTGCTTTCCACTGGGAGCTGTCTATTGATGTCAGCAGAACTAAAGATAGGTTCCAGATAAAGCCATGACCTCTGACACTGCAGCCACTCCTCCAGCACTTCCTGAAAGCCACACAACATAACTGAAACCATGCTTTATTGTGCAGCCAAAATAAGCCACTCACAATCCATCTAATACATGCTAATAACATTGGTGAGCGGTTTTGCAGATGGCAGGATTACACTGGGTGCATGAACACTTAAACACAGCATTTGACTGAATTTGGGAGCGAGCGAGTCTGCACACATGGCATTACAGTGAGTTAGTATGTTTCACACACACGCAACCCACACTACTGAGACTGCCCTGTTCAAAGCCATTATTCACATACTCTCCATCTGTGACAAGGGCTCTCTATGCCTCCTTCATCTCCTCAATCTCTCTGCCACATTCAACACTGTTAAAACCAAAGAACCATAGAATTATACAGCACAGAAGGAGGCCATCTGGCCCAGCGTGTCTCTGCCAGCTTTTTGAAAAGACCTATTCAAATCAATCCTACTTCCCCATAGTCCTCCATTATTTCCACCCTTACTTCCCTCAGTAACCTAGGATCCACCCGTCCAGACCGGATGACTTATCTACCTTGAGCACCGACAATCTTTTTAATACCTCCTCTTGGTTTATTCTTATCCTGTCCAATTTCTCTACCTTCTCCTCCAATACTGTGGCATTGGCTGCATCCTCTTCTTTTGCAAGACTCTTTTGTGAAGACTTCTTTTGCAAAGTACTCATTCAGTACGTCAGCCATGCCCTCTGCTTCCACAAGAAGATTTCCTCTTTGGTCGCTAATTGAACTCACCCTACCTTTGACTAACCTTTTATTCTTGATATGCTTATAAAATAACTTAGGGTTCCCTTTTATGTTACCCACTAATCTTTTCTCACACAATTGCTTTGCCCCTCTCATTTCCTTTTTCAGTTCTCCTCTGTACTTTCTATATTCTATTTGATTATCTTCTGTATTTTGAATCTGGCATTTATCATAAGCCTCCTTTTTCTGTTTTATTTTAATCCCAATTTCCTTAGTCATCCAGGGAGGTTTGGATGCCCTACCTTTCCCCTTTGTGGGAATGTATTTGTTCTGCACCGAACTATCTCCTCCTTGAAGGCTTCTCATTGCTCATAAGCTGGTTTACCTGCCAATCTTTCTTTCCAGACCACCTTGGCTAGGTCTCTTTTTAACACACTGAAATTAGTCCTCTTCCAGCTGAGTATTTTCACCTTTGATTGCTCCTTGTCCCTTTCCATAATTACTCTAAACTTAATGATGTTGTGATCACTGTTGTCCAGATGCTCTCCTACTGAAATCTGCTCCACTTGCCTCACTTCATTCCCCAGAACTAAATCCAGCACTGCTTCTTTCCTTGTTGGGCTGGAAACACAAGTTATCCTGCACACATTTCAGGAATCCGTCCCCTTCCTTGCCCTTTACACTGTTATTTTTGCCAGTCTTTGTCAGGATAATTGAACTCCCCCATTCTCACTACTCTATTGGTTTTGTATCTTTCTGAATTCTGCTTGCAGATTTGCTTGTCTTTCTCCTTCCCACTATTTTGTGATTCATAGTGTACACCTAACAGAGTAACAGCAACTTTTTTGTTCCTTAACTCTAACCAAATATATTCTGTTTTTGAACCCTCTAACACACTGTCCCTTTCCAAGCCCGTACCCATGTCTTTAATCAATATTGCCACTCCACCTCCTTTTTTGCCTTCCCTATTCCCTCTGAATATATTGTAGACAGGAATATTCAGCTCCCATTTCTGCCCTTGTTTGAGCCTCTGTTATTGCCGCTACATCATAAACCCATGTGTCAACTTGAGCGCAGCTCACCAATCTTAGTTGTCACACTCCATGCATTTACGAAGATGCACTCCAAGACCGACTGAGCCTGCTCTGCATTTCTCCCCATCTAATCCCTCCTTTTTCTGGACTACTCCTTATTACATTGCTATTTATCTCTCCCAGCCCTCTATGTAAATTGTTTGTCCATTCTGATTCTACATCCTGATTCCCTTCCCCACTCAAAGTTAGTTTAAACCCTTCCCCCACAGCTAGCTAACTAGTTAACCTCCCTGCGAGGACATTGGTCCCAGCCCTGTTCAGATGTAGCCCATCATGTGTTCATTCATGTGTTTGATCCTGCTGTTTTGACACTCACTTGCCCGAGGCACTGGGAGTAATCCAGAGATCATCACCTTTGAGATACCATTCTTTAGCTTTTTCCCTCACTTCTGATAATCTCCCTGTAGGATCACGTGGAGACGTGGAGTCCTGTAGCTCAGTGGTTAGAGCACTCGCTTTGCAAGTGAGAGACCTGAGTTCAATTCCAGGCAGAGGGCGAAACCTTGGGAAAGTTTCCTTACTCCACACAGAGCCTAATAATAATCCCTCCAAAAAACCAAAAACAATAATTAAATTGGTCATTTTCAATCTACGACTGTTTGTGGGACATTGCTGTGCGCAATTGGCTGCCGCGTTCGCCCACAAATATACAGTCAATTCACTTTACAGTGTGTTCTGTGAAGCGCTTTGGGACGTCCTCCCGACATGAAAAGCGCTATATCAAATGCAAGGATTATTATTATTATTATTATCACAGCCCTACGTCATGGATCTCAACATGGATCACGACTTCTGGATGTTCTCCCTCCCCCTGTAGAATGTTTTGCACCCGTTCCGTGATGTCTTCAACCCTGGCACCAGGGAGGCAACATACCATGCGAGAATCACGTCTTTGGTTGCAGAATTGCCTGTCTACGCTTTGCACCATTGTGTCCCCAATGACAATTGCATTGACACCCTTCCCTCTGTCCCCCTGTGCTTCCATTTGCTTTTGACTCCCCTCCCCAGAGGTGTCATCACCCTCACCAGTATTCAGTACAGAGAATCTGTTTGTGAGTGCCACACTCTCAGGGGATTTCTGGACTGCCCGTCCCCTCTTCCTACCATGCCGGGTGGTCACCCACTCACTCTTCTCGATCCATGAACTCTTCAGCCTCTCGTATGTTATATAGTGACACCAGCCTCTCCTCGAGCTCAGCAACCCTGATCTCAAGCTCAAGCAGCCAGAGGCATTTCCTACACACATGTCTGTCCAGGGCATACAAAGCAACCTGGAGTTCCCACATGGCATACATTGTGCATGCAACCAGTCTCAGCTGCACTGCCATATTCCCAGACATGTTTTATATTATTTTAATTTAACTTGTAGACTTTATAATTATGCTCCTCTGCACCAAATTCCCACTCCCACCAAATTCCTTAACAGAATTCTCACTCTGTTCCACTTCATTTGGTTCCCTCCTCACTCTGCTGGGCTCTTTGCCCACTACTGTCCTGACTGTTGATCAAGTTTTTCTCTTCCAACACCTATCTGCTCAGCTTCACCTTCACGGTTCTGTTCTTTCCTGGTGGCACTATTACCCTGTTCCAACATCACCACTTCATATCTGTCAATGAGTTCTCATGCAGCGTTCCTCAGGTCTCTGTCCTCGGCCTTCTACTCTTAAATATCTATATGTTCCCATTCACAATGTCATCTGCAGACATGGGATTAACTTCCACATATATGCAGATGACACCCAACTCCATCTCTCTGCCTCCACCCATGACTCCATGACCACTACTGTCCTGACTGATTGCCTGTCAGACATCAAGTCCTAGATGAGAGCCAACTTTCTACTGTTGAATGTTGCAAAGATGGAGGCTCTCGTCAGCGTTTTCTTGCCTCAGGTGCTGATGGCATCAAACCTCATGGATGCACTCTCCACCGTTTGGAGTCAGTGCGAACCTTAGTGTCTTGTCCGACTTCTCCTTTGAACTTTGTCCTGGTTGTCAATAAATTGAAGCTATCGCAACAGTGTTCAGTGACAGTGAGTAAGGCAAACCAGATATTGGGTTGTATTAAAAGGGCGATATTGAGCTGAAATAGTGGAGTAATCCTGCCACTTTATAAATCACTGGTGCGACCGCACTTGGAATACTGTATGCAGTTCTGGTCACCGCAATATAAAAAGGATATTGTAGTGATTAAGAGGATACAGAGGGGGGCAACCAAAATGATTGAGGGCTTATCTAAACTGGGCTTAAGTTCATGCTGGAGAAGGTTGAGGGACGATATGATTACGGTGTTTAAGATTTTGAAGGGACTAGATAATGTAGACCATGACAAGCTGTTTTATATAGTACTGAACAGCAGAACCAGAGGACACAGCCTGTGATTGAAGGGGAGTAAATTGAGTACAAATCTGTGGAAATACTAAGTAGTAAACTTATGGATCAGGCTCCCTAGGGAGATAGATGGTGGAAGCAGAAATTGTTGTTTATTTCAAGAACAAATTAAGATTGATTTCTGCTAGAAAATAATATCTCAGTGTATAGTTTGGGACACGACATGTCAAATGAGCTAGATAGTGATAATAATAATCCTTGTATTTGATATAGCGCTTTTCACGTCTTCTAGACGTCCCAAAGCGCTTCACAGAATATACTATAAAGTGAATTGACTGCATATTTGTGGGCGAACACGGCAGCCAATTGCGCACAGCAATGTCCCACAAACAGTCATAGATTGAAAATGACCAATTTATTATTTTTTTTTGGAGGGATTATTATTAGGCGTGTGGAGTAAGAAAACTTGCCCAAGTTTTCGCCCTGCCTGGAATTGAACTAAGGTCTCTCACTTGCGAGTGCTCTAACCACTGAGCTACAGGACTCCACAAGGGCCTTGGTCTTCTTTCGCCAGCAAATTCTTATGTTCTTATTTACATCCGTGCCCCACATGGCTTTTTCCCACCTTCGCAATATTACCACTACCTCTCTCCTCAGGTTTCATGAGATCCTAATCCACATGCTCAGAACATCCTTCAACCATCCACTTCAAGACCTTCTTCTTTGGTTACCTTCCCCCCCCACCCCCCAACCCCCACCTCAGGACATCCTCCTGATGTGAAAGCCTACATAAATGTAAATTTATTGTTGTTGTACACCCACAGCATTTCACAGGGCAGCCCTTTGGCCCCACATTCAGAGCGGACAAGCCACACGGCCTGTTTTTGAGGAGATACAGAGAGGAACCTACTGAATATAATTAAAGAGATAAACTGCCTGTTGCTGAGTGCGGTTATTGTCCTTTACCAGAGCAACAACAACAAGATTACATTTGTATAGCGCCTTTCAAATAGGCAGGGCACTATGATCTCCAGATCAGATCTCCAGCACTCCAGATCCCAGACTTCAAAACCCCAACCTTAGCTAATGTCAATGAAAGCCCTCTACTCCTCCCATAACACAGGTCAACAACAACAACTTGCATTTATAATGCGTCCTTCAAGCGGGGCAGCATCTTGGGGTGCTTAACAGTGGCGGAGCCTGAAGCCAATCCCGGGAGAGGGAGGAGGTAACCACAAGCACGGTCAAAGAGGAAGGTCTTCAGCCGTGATCTAAAAGAGGGAAGGAGGAGGCAATGCAGAGGAACTGAGGGAGAGAGTTCCAAAGCTTCGGGGCGCTAGTGGCTAAAAGCGCCATCATCGATGGCCGAGTGGAAGAGACAAGGGACAAGCAGGAGGCCAGAGCTGTTTATGAAGTGATGGCAGTTAGTTAAGTAGGACTTGAACCATGTGAGTGTGGTCCCACTAAGGTGGATGAAGGAGGAGAGGTGGTGGAGGAGGATGGCATGGACCATTGTGTTTGAATGCATCGGAGAGGTCCAGGAGGATGAGGAGGCAGAGGTAGCTTCTATCACAGAGTGCTGACGTAATTTGTTACTTTGACAAGCGCTGTCTCTGTACTGTGGGCAGGGCAGAACCTAGACTGGAGGGGCTCGAGAAGGGAGTGGAGGGAGAGGTGGGAGCGAAGTTGATATGCAACAACGCATTCCAGAACTTTAGCAAGGAAAGGCAGTTTGGAAATGAACAGGGATCGAGGGTGGGATTTTTGAGGAGGGGAGTGGGATAGAGCCTGTGGAGAGGGACTGGTTGAGTCAGCCAGCAGGGGGCAGATGAGGGGGAGTTGAGTGACAAGGAGCTGAGTGGGGAGTAGGTCGAGGCAGCAGGTGGTTGGCTTTGTGTTGGTGATGATGGATGAGAAGGAGGAAGGAGAAACAGGGACAAAGGAGTGTAGGATGGGGCAGTGGTAGGAGCTGTGGCGGAAGGAGTAGATGATGTGGAAGGCAAGGGTGGAGTGCTAGACATGGGTGGGAGGGGTAGCGGGAGGCAGCCAGGTGGATGTTATCTATCTTGGATCTAATCCACGTCCTCTTCATACGTGGCATTCAATGTAAGGATCAAGGGTGCTTGAGAGGGCACGTGGAGGAGGTGATGGGTGGTGTAAAGCAGCACTTTACGGTTATTTTTAGCCTCCAGAATGGCCTTGGAGTAAAAGGCAGCTTAGGCCTGAGAGACATTTGGTAGTAAACCGTGAGGCCGGTTTTGTGCCATCTGTGCTCGAATGTCCAGGTTTGGAAATCGAGGGAACAAAGTTGGCTGTTGTACCAGGGTGAGCGAGTGGGTTTAGAGTCTGTTCTGGATTTCAGGGGGACAGGGATTGAGGTGAAGGAGAAGTTACTGGAGAAGTTCAGTACAGGTTCGCATGATAATAAAGTATTCTTTCACTACTGGTATCAATTGCAGTAAGTTTGTCCAAATCATATACTTTTCGGGGGTCAGCCACATGTTTGACACATGCAGAAACCCAGCACTATGATTAAGAGTTTCCAAACCAAACTGAGAATTCCATGTATCCCACCTCAATCCAGTTCATACACAATACTTGCAGGATGATGATAAGTTGTATGTTTCTCTAGTTTTTCTGTTTTTGAACAATTTACATTTGCTAATTTACTTGGTTACTTGATACTTTCCATATCTACAAAGAATGCGACAGTATCTTCCACACATTCAGAAAGGCTTTGTTGCATCAGGCTCTTACCTGTGTCATACGAAGTTTGCCTTCCCAAGTGCTTATACGTCCCTCATATTCCTTTTTAAATGGCGAGAAGGACATGCTCTGAGTCATGACAATGTGATCATCTAGGAGCTGGGAAGCGTCATCTGGACTTTTTAAGATGAATGTTCCTGTTTGTTTGTACGGCATCACATCGAATAAAACATCTGACCAGTCAGCTTCCATCTTATCCAGTGCCTGAGATCAGAAGATATTTAACATTAATACGGAGGAATCGCTTTAGAGAAATAATAATAACAATTTTATATTTGATAAAGCATCTTTCACATTGGGAGGTGTCGCAAAACACTTCACAGAATATGCTGTAAAGTGCAGTTTCTATTTTGTGGGCAAACCCAGCAGCCAATTTGTAAAAATGTTCATTCACATTATGGCTGCAATGACCCACAAACAGCCATGAAGTGAATTAACAATTAATTTTACTTGGGAAGTTATTAGCCAAGACACCAGGAGAAACTCCCAATAGTGCCATGAGATGTTTAATATCCACCTGAAACAGACAGACAGGAACCCAGTTTAATGTTTAATGAAGAAGGCCCTTCAGTCCATCTGATCTTATCCCTCCAGAACACCCACTCCTCCCATCACAACATCAAACTGTTTTCTTAATGAAGCCAGTGTCCTGGCCTCAACTACCTTAACTGGCAACCTGGTCCAGTTATTGATTACCTTCTGCATAAAAAAGTCCTGGTATCTTCCTGAAAAAATTGCTGAAATTGCTTTTTACAACACTAAACCTCCATCCTCTTGTTCTACTGTCTTGGTGCATCCTAAAGTATTGATCTGGGTTTACTTTTTCAATCCCATTCAAAATGTTATACACCTCCATGAAGTCCCCTCTGAGTTGTCTTCTCTCAAGACTGAAGAGCCTGAGCTTGTCTAATCGTTGCTCACAGCTCATTCCTCCATCAATGGGGATCTGCCTCATTGCTTTCCTCTGCACTGTCTCTAGGGTCTGTTGTCACAGTGAGCAGAGTTGTCTGCCATGCTCACAGTGCGGCCTGATCAGAGCAATGTGTGTAGTGTGGACATCTAAACTCACTGATTAGCAATATAGCCCAGCATCCTGTTTGCCTTGTTTAGTGAGTGACAACTCAACTGACACCCCTAGCTCTCTCTCAGGTTCTCCCTTGGCAAGTTCTGTCCCATCCATGGATAAAAGTTGTGTTTTCTATTCTTGGATCCTATATATTTATCACCTTGTATTTATCAATATTAAACTTCATTTTCCAGTTATCAGCCCACATGCCTATCAAGCTCTCAATTTAAGACTTTTGCTGCCTCTTAATATGGCGAATGGGTGGGTAAAAAAACAAGATGCAATAAAAATGAAGAAACCATCATGGGATCATGGTTCCAGAAAATGTAAAAGAGGAAGTTAGAGAACTAACAGGAAATAGATCAAGAGGACGACGGATTGTGGAGGAACTCAAAAGATCAGAGATAGATTGAGATGTATGTATAGAAATGCACAAAGTATAAGGAGAATTCGTGAGCTAGAGGCACAAATTATTCATAGAATCTTAAAATTATACAGCACAGGAGGAGGCCATGCAGCCCATCGTGTCTGTGCTGGCTCTTTGAAAAGAGCTATCCAAATCAATCCGACTCCCCCGCTCTCTCCCATAGCCCTGCAAACTTGTCCTCCCCAAATAATTCTCTACTTCTCTCTTAAAAGTTGTTATCAAATCGGCTTCCACCGGCTTTCAGGCAATGCATTCCAGATCCGAACAACTTGCTATGCGAAAACATTTTTCCTTAGCTCCCCTCTGTTTCTTTTAACAACTACTTTAAATCGGTGTCCTTGGGTTACCAACCCACCCCCCAGTGGAAATAATGTCTCCTTGTTCACCCTATCAAATCCCCTCATATTTTTGAAAACTTCTATTAAGTCTCCTTTTAAGCACCTTCTCTGCTCCAAGGAGAATAATCCTAGCTTCTCTAGCCTCTCCTGAAGTCCCTCATTCCTGGTATCATCCTGGTAAATCTCCTTTGCACCCTCTCCAATGCCTTGAGATCCTTCCTAAAGTGTGGGGCCCAGAACTGAACACAGTACTCTAGCTGAGACATAACCAGTGCTTTATAATGCTTTATAATTTTATAATATTTCATAGAGAGCTATGATCTTGTAGCATCATACACCTGGCAAAATCCATGAAAAGACTGGGAACTAAATCTTCCCAGGCACCAGATTTTTAAGAAGAGACAGAATAGGAAAACAGGGTGGGGTAGCACTAACCAAGGATTATAATACAGTGCTAGAACACAAGGCTGATGGAAGGCCTATGTAAAGACAATCTCTCTGGGCAGAAATGAGAAGTAAGAAGGGAAGTATTCCAAGAGATCTGTAAAGAAATCCGGGAGAGGTGCAGAAATAACAGCCTCACAATAACTGATAATAATAATTATCATAAACTAGCCTGGGACAAGACAGTGTAGTGGAGTCCTGTAGCACAGTGGTTAGAGCACTCGCCTCGCAAGCGAGAGGACCTGGGTTTGATTCCCGAGCAGGGCGAAACATAGGGCACGTTTGCTTTCTCCAGAAGCCGTGTTTACCAAGCTGTATCTAGGAATCCGGTTGTAAATCAATTGGTGGATCGCTTTTCCGGGGGTAATAATCCCTTAAAAAAAATAATTATTTGGTCTATACTAATAATCTATCCACTGTTTGTGGGACACTGCTATGTGCAATTACCTGCCGTGTTTCGCCCACAAAATACAGTCAATTAATTTACAGTATATTCTGTTGAAGCACTTTGAAACATCTCGAAGACGCGATAAGGCACTGTATCAAATGAAAGGATTATTATTATCACAATGAATCAAATGAAATCTTACTGTATTGCGAAAATCTATGGTCATTGTCTGCGAGGTCAGATTATTGTGGAGGAAACTGAAATGCTCAATAAGATAATACAAAGGACTAATAAAAATAATAATAATCCTTGTATTTGATATAATGCCCCACCATTGACGGAAGCGCCTTCAGCCACTCTGCCCCCAACCACTGAAATTCCATCCCCCAATCACTCCGCCTCGCCTCCTCCTTAGCCTCCTTCAAGTCCCGCTTCAAAACCCTTCTCTTCGATCATCCCATCGGGCACCCCCCTTCCCCTCCCCTCCCTGACCCCAGCTTGGGTCTGAAATGCTGTTACTCTGTCCAGCACCTTGGGATGTCCTACCGACGTGAAAGGCGCTATATAAATGTAATCTTGTTGTTGTTATCACATCGAGACATCTCAAACACTTCACAGAATATACTCAAAGCTCTTCACAAATTATAAAGTGGGTTCACTGTGTATTTTTGTGAGCAAAATACGGCAGCCAATTGCGCACAGCAGTGTCCTACAAACAGTTGTGGATTGAGTGACCAAACTTTTGGGGGGATTATGGCTCCCTACATATTATATAAGTCTGTATGCTATGTCACTATGTCTATCAATCGCTCTGCTATCGCTGTGAGCTATAAATTACTGTGAGGAAAGGGCAAGTAAATATGGCTGAATGGATTACTTTTACATAGAATGGACTTCACAAAGATTTGGAGCTATGGGATAAGAGCGGGGGAATGGGACTAGTTGATAGCTCTTTCAAAGAGCCAGCACAGACACGATAGGCCGACTGATCTCCTTCTGTGCTGTAAGATTTATAACAACACCATTGATAGCAGTAACACAGCTGATTTCTCTTTGCTTTGTCAATCCTGCCTCACATTATTCCAACCTGGTGAACAATGTATCACTCATGGATTCATAGATTCACAGAATGTTACGGCACTTAAGGAGGCCATCGAGTCTGTGCCGGCTCTTTGATAGAGCAAGTCACTTTCATTAACCCCAATCACCAGCTTTCTCCCCATAACCCTGCAAACCCGTCTTCTCCAGATACCTATCCAGTTCTCTCTTAAAAGCTGTTATCGAATTGGACTTCACTACCCTTTCGGGCAGATCATTCCAAATTCGAACAACTCGCTGAGTGGAAACATTTCTTCTAACCTCCCCTCTGCTTCTTTTGGTAGATATCTTAAGACTGTGAGCACGGGTCACAGACACACCTACCAGCGGAAACAGCTTTTCCTTATCTCGCCTATCGAAACCTTTCATGATCTTGAAGACCTCCATCAGGTCCCCGCGTAACCTTCTCTGCTCTAATGGGAAAAGTCATAACTTCTCCAGCCTGTCCTCATAGCTAAGGTTCCCCAATCCTGGTATCATTCTCGTGAATCTCCTCTGCACCCTTTCCAGTGCCTTAATGTCCTTCCTGAAGTAAGGTACCCAGAACTGGACGCAGTACTCCAGCTGAAGCCTAAACAGTGTTTTGTATAGATTAACCATAACCACCCTACTCTTATACTCTATGCCCCTACCAATAAAGCTCAGTACACCAAATGCCTTTTTTACTGCCTTATCTACCTGCCCCGCTATCTTTAATGATTCGCTTACTTGAACACCCAGATCTCTCTGTACGTTCACCCCCCTTAAGATTGAGCTACCAAGTCTATATTGCCTCCTATCATTTTTCCTATCCTATCTCCTCACACTATCCACATTGAAATCCATCTACCACATATCAGCCCATTCCGCAATTCTGTGTATGTCTGCTTGCAGTTGCTTACAGTCCTCCTCACTATTTACTACCCTACCTAACTTTGTATCATCTGCAAACTTGGAAATAGTGCTCTCTATGCCCAAGTCCAGATCAGTAATATATATTAGAAAGAGCAGTGGTCCCAATACCAATCCCTGGGGGACACCTCCTTCCATTTCGAGAAACATCCATTAACCACCACCCTCTGCTTTCGGTCACTCAGCCAGTTCTTAATCCAAACTGCCACTGTCCCCTTCATACTGTGGGCCTCTAATTTTTTTATTAATCTCTTATGCGGTACTGTGTCAAAAGCCTTTTTGAAATCCATGTAAATAACGTCCACCGCATTTCCCTCATCAACCCTCGCAGTCACCTCTTCAAAAAATTCTATTAGATTTGTTAGGCAAGATTTGCCTTTAACAAATCCATGTTGGCTGTCTCTAACTACCTCATGTTCCTCTAAGTAGAGATTTATTCTGTCCCGGATTTTGGTCTCCAGTAGTTTTCCTATTACCGAAGTTAGGCTGACTGGCCTGTAATTTCCGGGTTTGTCTTTCTGCTCCTTTTTGTAGAGGGGGATAACATTAGTCACTCTCCAGTCCCTTGGCACCATGTCCCTAGGTTTCTTTTAGTTACCCCTCCCCCTCTTACTGCCTTTGTACCGTACCTTACATTTAGTTCTATTGAACTTCAATTGCAAACCCTATAATGCTCTTTTTGTAAAACGTTTGCTGCCTCCTCTGATTGCAACTTTTTCCGTCACTTGGTGTCCAGGTCATTAATGGAACAGTAGGGGACAGGGTGATCCCAGCATAGAAACAATGCAATCTGTATCTTTCACATTTGACCTTGCTCTCGTAATAACCGCAACAACAGTGTCCCAACTGCCTGCTGGGTTTGCCCACAAATATAAGTCAATTCACTTTACAGTATACTCTATGAAGAGCTTTGAGAAGACATGAAAAGCGCTATATCAAATGCAAGGATTATTATTATTATAACAACCACCCTCTGCTTGCTTCCCTTCAGCCTAACTCTAAGCTGAATCAAAAAGTGTCTTTCCACTTTGGAGGATTCTGTAGTTGAGGCGGAGTCCATCAATTATTTTAAAACAACAACAACAAAATTACATTTATAGAGTGCCTTTCACGTCGGGAGGACACTGAACAGTCAGGTGTCGGGGCCCAAGCATGGGGGAGGGGTGGTGTAGGGGTGAGGAAAGGCAGATAGATGGGAGGGAGACCAAAGGCGCGGTCGAAGAGTAACATATTGTATTGAGACCGGCCTTGAAGTAGGCAAGGGAGGAAGGGATGCGAAGGGACCGTGGGATGGAGTTCCAGAGTGTGGGGGCAGAGAGGCTGAAAGCCCGGCCATCGATGATAAGGCGGGTCGGGCAGGAGACATGGAGCAGGCCGGAGCCCGATGAACGGAGGGAGCGGGCAGGTTGGTAGGGAGTCAGCAGGTCAGAGAGGTAGGAGGGGGCAAGGCCATGGCCATGGATGGCCTTAAAGATGAGGATGAGGATCTTGAACTTGATCCTCTGGGGATGGGGCGCCAGTGGAGTCGGGCGAGGGTGGGAGTGATGGGGTCATGGAGCCTGGTGTGTGAGAGTACACGAGCTGCAGAGTTTTGGATGATCTGCAGCTTGTGAAGGGAACAGTTGGGAAGGCTGATGAGAAGGGAGTTCCCGTAATCAAGCCTTGAGGTGACAACAACAACAACAACAACAAGATTCCATTTATAAAGCGCCTTTCACGTCAGGAGGACGTCCCAAGGCGCTGCACAGTTGGGTCAGGACCCGAGCAGGGGGGAAATGGTCAGGGTGAGGGGAGGGAAGGGAGGGAGCGAGGAGGGGGGAAATGGTCAGGATGAGGGGAGGGAAAGGAGGGAGCGAGGAGGGGGAAGAGAGTCGAGAGGGGAGCTGAAGGCTCGGTCAAAGAGAAAGGTTTTGAGACCGGCCTTGAAGGAGGAAAGGGAGGAGGAAAGGCGAAGGCACTGGGGGATGGAGTTCCAGAGCCAAATGTGCATGTGAGGTTTTCAGCAGCCTGAAGGATGAGGCAGTGGCGGAGTCTGGCAATATTGCGGAGGCGGTGGTAGGCAGTGCCAACCATGGCGCAGATGTGGGGGAGAACGGAATTAGATTGATTGTTGAAGAGGAATACTGAAGGATATGGCTTTCCATCCTCAGCAGTGCCCTGGAGTACTGCACAGACAACTGGCACCTGACTAGACACCAGCATAGAACATTGCTTTTCAAAAGGTATGAAGCTAGTGAATCCAACATTGCTGTTACACATATCTTGGAGCTGGAATACACATTCCGGATAAAATCCAAGATGTGACTTACCGTTTCATCATGAAAGCTTCATGAGGCATTAGGCCAAAGGCATTATGAAAACAATGAATGCAATGTGGCAATGGGTTTCCCCTGAGCCTTACAATGGTCTGTGTGTACAAAGACATAACCTGCCTCACACACTCATCAATCCTCACATGAAGTGGTATGAGAGGTGGAGAGTGTAGGATGTGTGTTTTACTATACGCAGTGATCTTTTTCAGTTTGTTCATTGTTGGTGTTCCTGTGATGCAGACACCTGAGGCACCTGCTTTATGGAGGCTGAAGGGAAGGAAGGGAAGGTATTGAGGTACCTGCTCTATGGAGTACTCCTTTCCCGCTATTTCTGCCATTTTGGCAATGATCTCCACATGGTCCTGCAGTTTGAGCTGTAGACATTTTGCAAAGGTCAGGTTCGCTTTGGGCTTGACAGTGACTTTAATTTGCTCTGACAGCAGTTCCCAGTGTCTGTTCCGCATGCCAGGATTACGCAGGGCTTGGATCAGCGGGATGTACGGCTTAAACTCCTCAATCCTCCCTCGGATGTCTTGTGCCACTTGTGCACATCCTGCAAAGGAATGTCATCCTGAAAAGAGTCACATTAGACAGTCCAAAGCCTGCGCACTGACAGTAGCAACCTGCCTGGCTGCTCACTCCAGCTCACCCAGCCAGTGCACAACCCTCAGCTCTGCTTGAACAAGTCTGTAACATCACCCACACCAACCCAGTCTAAACCATCATCAGCACGTGGTCACCAATCTTTCCAGTTCAACCCTCCACAAGTCCTAGATCATTCCAGAACTCAGAAACCTGTATCCTTCCCCATAACAAGCTCCTCCCATAATGATTCCCCAGAGGGCTGACATTAAGATCCTCTTACTAACTTCCAAATGCCTCCAAACACCATCTGTGATCCGTATCATCCTACTCTTTCAAGTTTGCTAACCAAAAGGATGCTTCATGTTTGATGGACTACAGTGTACACCAGCAGGGTAACAGCTGCTACTTAACTCTAACTAAATAGATTCAGTCAGTTTGATACCTCTAATACTGACACTCTCTTCTATGTGAAATGTTATATGCAGTTGAAATGTGTGCCTATAGCGTGTACTGACAGTAGCATCACCTCAAACTAGTGATACAAATTTTAAAAGTTCAGTATATATTTCACACATCAACCAGCGTTCAGCTCAATATCCCCTAAGCTTTATGATGTGCCCATAACCCCTTGGTTTAATTACAAAGATGCTGATTAAAGCTACAATTGAAATGGAAAGTAACATCTATTCACCTGGAATGTCCTTAAACTGTCTGACACATTTATGCACAACCTTGAATGACTCATTTACATTCTTTTCCACTTGTTCTGCATCAATGGTTGTCAGAGGATCGTTCATCCAGCTGTCATACCAGCGGAGCCAGTCGGACGTTGTGGTCCATAGATCTCGGAACGGCTGGAACTCTTTGATCAGCTTGAGAAGCTTGTCATACTGACAACAAGACAGAAAAAGACAAGAAGTTTTGGAATGTGAAAAATACCATCTCACCCATTCTCTCCACCTCTATCTTCCCATTTTCGCCATCTCTACCATAATTATTGTTCTTTACAACCTTATTTAAAATTTTATTTGTAAATAGTTAACCATTGTTTATGCAAGTGACATAACAAACTGACAGTAATTCCTCACTTTTACACTCTGCCCCTTCGGAACATAAAGACCAAGGGCCCCTACTGGCTATTTTTGGCCTTATCTACATGTTTGTTTCCTTTTTGATGAAGTAACGGAGAGGGTGGATGAAGGTAGTGCAGTTGATGTTGTCTATATGGATTTTTAAAAGGCGTTTGATAAAGTGCCACTTTTTTTGGCTTGTAAGCAAAATAGAATCCCACGGTATTAAAGGGACAGTGGCAGCGGATACAGAACTGTCTGGGAGACCAAAAGCAGAGAGTGGTGGTGAACGGTTGTTTTTCTGACCGGAGGGAAGTGAGCAGTGGTGTCCCCCAGGGTCAGGATTGGGGCCACTGATGTTTTTGATCTATATAAATGACCTGGACTTGGGTACAGGGAGTACAATTTCCAAGTTTGCAGATGATACTAAGTTAGGAAAAGTAGTAAACAATGAGGAGGATAGTAGTAGACTGCAAATGGACATAGACAGACTGGTAACATGGGCAGACAGGGGGCAGATGAAGATTAATGTGGAGAAATGCGAAGTGATGCATTTTGGGAGGAAGAATGAGGAGAGACAGTATAAGCTGATGGTACAATATAAGTAAATCTTTGAAGGTGGCAGGATAGGTAGATAAAGGTGTTAAAAAAGCATACAGGATAATAATATAATAATCCTTACATTTGATATAGCACTTTTCACGTCTTCTAGACATCTCAAAGCGCTTCACAGAATATGCTGTAAAGTGAATTGACTGTATATTTGTGAGCGAAACGTGGCAGCCAATTGCGCACAGCAGTGTCCCACAAACAGTCGTGGATTGAAAATGACCAATTTATTATTTTTTTTGTTTTGGAGGAGTATTGAAGGAGAACGGCTTCTCCGCCCCACTCCCCCACACTCCTCGTTGGAAAGGAAAGTCACAGCTGTACTCACATTGGTGACAGGCATCTCAAAAAGTCTCTCGCGGTTGTTATAGAGCTGAGCCAGTTGCTGCGACTCGATCAACTGCTTGTGGACACGTCGCACCTCGTTGGCAATCTCATGTGCTCTATTTATGTCAACATGAGCAGGAAATGCGGCCACTGCCATCTGCAACGCAAAGCACTGCAGCTCAGCATCTCATCACAATACAGGATTACCTTCATGATGCTCTCGAACTTCTCAATCAGAAAGTACAGTGGGCTTATGATGTTCATGTAACTCCGGTTCTGAAAACTAGCAAAGAACAAAAAAGGTCACAGATGAAGTGAATTTGTCTGCTGAGTTTCTGATATGGGCCAGATGTGACTGTAATTTCACATAACATGAGGAAGGAACTGATTATCTTATTTTCAATGGTAGGTGATTTGAGGACAAAAAGACATGAATTTTGAATTTTAAGAAGCATGAAAGGTACAGTCAGGAAGATGTTTGTCCACAGAGAGTTACTAGAATGTGGAATGAATTGCCAGCAGTGGCTGTTGCAACAGAATCGATGGGGACATGTAAAGGAAAACACATGTGAAGGAAGGCTGTTGGAGGATATGGGAAAAGAACAAAGAATAGGATTAGGTGGTGATCTCGGGATTACTCCCAGTGCCTTATGCAAGTGATTACCAAACCGGGAGAATGAAACACATGAATGCCTGGCTGGAGAAATGGTGCAGGAAGGCGGTCTTCAGGTTTCTAAACCACTGGGACTACTTCCGGGGCTGATGGGACCTGTACACGAGGGATGGGTTACACCTGAGCAGGGCTGGGACCAATGTCATTGCAACAAGGATGGGGGATGGGGATCAGAATGTAGAATCAGGGAGGGGAAACGAGTTACAACAACAACAACAACAAGATTCCATTTATATTTATATTTATATATTCCAAGAGTTATATAGTGGACAAGGAGAAACAAATAGAAGTGAAACAAGGAATAGTACAGCAAGAAGTGGAAAGAGACAGGGGAGAAATGTAGAGCGGATTAAGCCGGTCTTGGAATGCATGTGTGTAAGTGCACGGAGGGTAACCAATAAGCTTGGTGAGCTGCAGCTCAAGTTGCCACATGGGGCTATGATGTGGTGGCAATTACGGAGACTTGGCTCAAGCAAAGACAGGAATGGGAGCTGAATATTCCTGGCTACAACCTATTCAGGAGGGACAAGGAAGGAAAAAAGGAGGGCTAGTTATACTCATTAGGGACACGGTCACGGTCCTGGAAAAGGACGATGTGTAGAGGGGTCCAAAAACTGAATCTATTTGGTGAGAGTTAAGGAGCAGAAAAGGAGCTGTTACTCTGTTAGGTATTTACTATAGACCTCCAAATAGTGGGAAGGATATAGATGAGCAAATCTGCAAGCAGATTTCGGAGATGCAAAACCAAAAGAGTAGTGATCATGGGGGACTTCAATTATCCTAACATAGATTGGGAAACACACAGTGTAAAGGGCAAGGAAGGGCAAGAATTCCAGAAATGTGTACAGGAGAACTTTCTGGATCAGCATGTTTCCAGCCCAACGAGGAAGGAAGCAGTGCTGGATTTACTTCTGGGAAATGAAATGGGACACGTGGAGCAGGTTTCAGTAGGAAACTCGCCTCCACTGGCTTCCCATCCCCCAGAGGATTGAATTCAAGATCCTCATCCTCACCTACAAGGCCATTCAGGGCCTTGCTCCCTCCTACCTCTCCGACCTACTATCGCCCTACCTACCTGCCCGTACCCTCCGTTCCTCTGGCTCCGGTCTGCTCCACATCCCCCGCCCCAACCGCCCTATCATCGGTGGCCAGGCCTTCAGCCCCTAGGCTCTGGAACTCCATCCCCTTGCTTCCTCCCTTTCCTCCTTCAAGGCCGGTCTCAAGACCTTTCTCTTTGACCGTGCCTTCAGCTCCCCTCTCGACTCTCTACCCCCTCCTCGCTCCCTCCCTTCCCTCCCCTCACCCTGACCATTTCCCCCCTGCTCGGGTCCTGACCCAACTGTCCAGCGCCTTGGGACGTCCTCCCAACGTGAAAGGCGTTCTATAAATGGAATCTTGTTGTTGTTGAGAGCATCTGGATAACAGTGATTACAATATCATTAGGTTTAGAATAGTTATGGGAAAGGACAACAATCAATCAAAGGTAAAGACCCTCAACTGGAAGTGGGCTAATTTCAGTGAGCTACAAAGGGACCTGGCCAAGATAGATTGGAAAGAAAGATTGGCAGGTAAGACAGCAAAAGAACAATGGGAAGCCTTCAAGGAGGAGATAGTTCGGGGAGAGAGCAAATACATTCCCACAAAGGGGAAAGATAGGACAGTCAAACCTCCCTGGATGACTCAGGAAATTGGGATTAAAATAAAACAGAAAAAGGAGGCTAATGATAAATGTCAGGTCAAAAACACACAGGATAATCAAACAGAACATAGGAAGTACAGAGGAGAAGTGAAAAGGGAAGAAAAAGGGGCGAAGAGATTGTACGAGAAAAGATTAGCAGGAAACATAAAAGGGAAACTTAAGGTATTTTATAAGCATATCAAGAGTGAAAGGTTAGTCAAAGATAGGGTGGGTCCAATTAGGGACCCCAGTGGAAATCTTCTTGTGGAGGCAGAGGGCATGGCTGATGTACTAAATAAGTACTTTGCAACTGTCTTCACAGAAGAAGACGATGCAACCAATGCCACAATATCGCAGGTGTGTGAACATAAATTGGATTTGATAAAAATCAACGGAGAGGAGGTGCTAAAAAGGCTGGCGGTGCTCAACATAGGTAAGTCACCTGGTCCGGACGGGATGCATCCGAGGTTACTGAGGGAAGCAAGGGTGGAAATAGCGGAGGCTCTGGCCACAATCGTTCATAGAATCATAGTTCAATCCTATTTAGACACTGGAGTGGTGCCAAAGGACTGGAAGGTTGCAAATGTTACGCCCCTGTACAAAAAGGAGCAGGATAAACCTGAGAACTGCAGGCCAGTCAGTCTAACACCAGTAGTAGGGAAACTTCTGGAGACTATAATCCGGGATAATATAAATTCTCACTTTGAAAAATATGGTTTTATTAAGGACAGTCGACACGGATTTGTTAAAGGCAGATCGTGTCTGACAAATCTAATAGAATTTTTTGATGAAGTGACTGAGAGGGTGGATGAAGGTAGTACAGTAGATGTAGTTTATCTAGATTTTCAAAAGACATTTGGCAAAGTGCCACATAAGAGACATAAACAAAATAGAAGCCCACGGTATTAAAGGGACTGTGGCAACATGGACCCAGGACAACATGGCTGGGAGACAGAAAGTAGAGAGTGGTAGTAAACGGTTGCTTTTCTGACTGGAGGGAGGTATGAAGTGATTTCCCTCAGGGGTTGGTATTGGGACCACTGTTCTTTCTGATCTATATTAATGATCTGGACCTGGATATAGGGAACACAATTTCCAAATTTGCAGACGATACTAAGCTAGGAAAAGTAGTTAATGGTGAGGAGGATAGCACCAGACTCTAAGAGTACTTAGACAGATTGGTAAAATGGGCAGAAATGAAGCAGATGAGGTTTAATGTGGAGAAATGCGAAATGTTGCATTTTGGTAGGAAGAATGAGGAGAGGCAGTTTAAGCTGATGGTACAATCTTAAAGGGGGCAAATGAACAGAGAGAACTGGGGTCCACATAAGCAAATCTCTGAAGGTGGAGGGACAGATACCTTCCTGGTAAACCTCCTTTGCACCCTCTCCAATGCCCTAACATATTTCGTAAAGTGAGGTGCCCAGAACTGAATGCAGTAAAAAAGCTGTTAAAAAAGCATACGGGATACTAGGTTTTATGAATAGTGGCATAGAATTCAAAAGTCAGGAGGTTATGTTGAATATTCATAAAATGCTGGTTAGGCCTCAGTTGGAGTACTGCATTCAGTTCTGGGCACCGCACTTCAGGAAAGATGTTAGGGCATTGGAGAGGGTGCAAAGGAGGTTTACCAGGATGGTACCAGGAATGAAGGACCTTGGTTATGAGGAGAGGTTAGCGAAACTAGGATTATTCTCCCTAGAGCAGAGAAGGTTAAGAGGGGATTTAATAGAGGTTTTCAAGATCATGAGAGGATTTGACAGGTTGAACCAGGAAAAACCGTTTCCACTGGCATGTGGGTCAGTAACCCGAGGACATAGATTTAAGTTGTTGTTAAAAGAAACAGAGGGGAGGTTAGGAAAATGTTTTCACCCAACGAGTTGTTCAGATCTGGAATGCATTGCCAGAAAAGGGTAGTGGAAGTCGATTGAATAACAACTTTTAAGAGTGAAGTAGAACTTTTCCTAGCTCAGTATTGTCTGCAAATTTGAAAATCCCCTTCGTTATCACCCACGGACTTGACCTTTCTGACCTCAGCATAGTGGACGAGGCCATCTTGGACCACTTCCGCATCTCCTTCTCCTCTCACATCCCTCTCTCCTCCACCAAGCCCTCAATCATCCTCCACCGCCCTTGGAAAGGGCTACCCCCGGAGACCCTCACATCATCAAACATCTTATCCCTCTGGCCTTCCACCCGCGGAGATACTGAAGCAGCCGTCCAGCTGCTCCATGATCGCCTCTCCATCACCTTCAACTACCTCATCCCCCTGAAATCCAGGACCATCTCCAAACCCACCCAATTCCCCTGGTATAACAACCATCTCCATCACCTAAAAACCCAAATCCAGCTGCTCGAGCGCAGATGGTGGAAAACTGGCCTGACAGTCCACCGGCAACTGTGGCTCGAGGATCTCCACAGCTACCGCCGTTCTTTGACGCACGCAAAAACGTCCTTCTACTCCAACGTCATCTTGGAGGCTAAACACAACCCTAAAATCCATTATTCCACCACCCACTGCCTCCTCCATGCCCCCCTCAGACCTCCTCAATCTTCATATCAAATGCCAATAATAATAATAATAATCCTTGCATTTGATATAGCACTTTTCATGTCAGGAGGACGTCCCAAAGCGCTTCACAGAACACACTGTAAAGTGAATTGACTGTATATTTGTGGGCGAACGCGGCAGCCAATTGCGCACAGCAATGTCCCACAAACAGTCGTAGATTGAAAATGACCAATTTATTATTGTTTTTGGTTTTGGAGGAATTATTATTAGGCGTGTGGAGTAAGGAAACCTGCCCAAGGTTTCGCCCTCTGCCTGGAATTGAACTCAGGTCTCTCGCTTGCAAAGCGAGTGCTCTAACCACTGAGCTACAGGACTCCACTCGCCAAGTCCGAGGAGGTAATGGACTTCGCTTCTAAAATACTTAACATCCACCAGGCAGCCTCATCCACCTGCCCCTTGTCACCCACCACCACGCCCTCTCTGTCCCCCTCACCCTCCCCATCATCTGCTCCTACCACCACCCCCATCCTACATTCCTTCCTCCCCATCTCTCCCTCCTCCCTCTCACCCACCATCACCTCAATGAAACCCACCACCTACTGCCTCGACCCCCTCCCCACCAACTTGCTGGTCACCCAGCTCCCCCTCCTCTGCCCACTACTGGCTGATGTCATCAACCAGTCCCTCTCCTCCAGATCAGTCCCTGCCCCCCTCAAAACTGCTGTCATCACCCTTCTCCTCAAACAACCTTCCTAGATCCCTCAAACCCCAGCCACTACTGCCCTAGTTCTAACCTTCCCTTCCTCTCAAACGTCCTAGAAGGCGTTGTTGCCAATCAACTTCACGCACACCTCTCCTCCCACTCCCTCTTCGAACCCCTCCAGTCTGGTTTCCGCCCTGCCCACGGTTCAGAGACTGTGCTTGTGAAAGTCACAAACAACATCCTCTCTATCTGTGACCAGGGCTCCCTCTGCCTCCTTGTCCTCCTGGACCTCTCAGCCGCGTTCGACACAGTCGATCACGTCATCCTCCTCCACCTCCGTCATCCATCTCAGTGGGACCGCTCTCTCCTGGTTCGAGTCCTACCTCACAAACCGCCAGCAGTACATCTGTACAAACAGCTTCTCCTCCCGCTCTCACCCGGTTACCTGCGGGGTACCCCAAGGATCCATCCTTGGCCCCCTCCTCTTTCTGATCTACATGCTCCTTCTTGGGGATGTCATCCGCAGACATGGGATACGACACCTAATTCTATTTTTCCACCTCTCGTTGCGACCCCCAATCTCCTGATGTTCTGTCAGCCTGCCTGTCCGACCTCAGGGCTGGATGAGCGCAAATTTCCTTCAGCTGAACGTTGACAAGACGGAAGCCATACTCTTTGGCTCTCGTCAACGTCTAAAATCTCACGGTACTCACCTCCACCACCTACCCGACCTCCCACTCCCTTTAAAACTCTCCGAACCTGTACGCAACCTAGGCGTCAGGTTCGACCCCCAATTATCCTTCCTCCCCCACATACGGTCCCTCACCAGCAGGGCTTTCTTCCACCTCCGATGCATCACCCGTCTCCCCCAATGCCTCACTCCAAAAGCCGCTGAAACCGTGGTCCATGCCTTTTGTCACCTCTCGGCTGGACTATTCTAATGCTCTCCTCGACGGCCTCTGCTCCACTACTATCCATAAAATCCAGATTATTCAAAACTCTGCCGCCCGCATTCTCACCCGCACCAAACTCCGCTCGCCGATCACCCCAGTCCTTGCCAGACTGCACTGGCTGCCTGTCCCAGAGGAGATTGATTTCAACAACAACAACAACAATGTGGAGTCCTGTAGCTCAGTGGTTAGAGCACTCGCTTTGCAAGTGAGAGACCTGAGTTCAATTCCAGGCAGGGCAAAACTTTGGGCAAGTTTCCTTACTCCACACAGAGCCTAATAATAATCCCTCCAAAAAAACAAAACAATAATAAATTGGTCATTTTCAATCTACGACTGTTTGTGGACATTGCTGTGCGCAATTGGCTGCCGCGTTCGCCCACAAATATACAGTCAATTCACTTTACAGTGTGTTCTGTGAAGCGCTTTGGGACGTCCTCCCGACGTGAAAAGCGCTATATCAAATGCAAGGATTATTATTATTATTATTATTATTATAACAACAACATTTCATTTATAGAGCGTCTTTCACGTCGGGAGGATGTCCCAAGGCGCTGGACAATTGGGGCGGGACCCGAGTAGGGGGGAAATGGTCAGGGTGAGGGGAGGGAAGGGAGGGAGCGAGGAGGGGGTAGAGAGTCGAGAGGGGAGCTGAAGGCACGGTCAAAGAGAAAGGTCTTGAGACCGGCCTTGAAGGAGGAAAGGGAAGAAGCAAGGCAAAGGCACTGGGGGATGGAGTTCCAGAGCCTAGGGGTTGAGAGTCTGAAGGCCCGGCCACCGATGGTAGGGCGGTTGGGGCGGGGGATGTGGAGCAGACCGGAGCCAGAGGAACGGAGGGTACGAGCAGGTAAGTAGGGGGATAGTAGTTCGAAGAGGTAGGAGGGAGCAAGGCCGTGAATGGCCTTGTAGGTGGGGGATGGGGAGCCAGTGGAGGTGAGGGTGGGAATGATGTGGTCCCGAAGCCTGGTGCGGAACAGTACACGAGCTGCAGAGTTCTGAATGACCTGCAGCTTGTGGAGGGAGGTGCCGGGAAGGCCGATGAGGAGAGGTCCAAGATCCTCACCCTTGTCTTGAAATCCCTGCACTCCTCTGTACTCCGCTACCTCTCTGACCTCCTCTCTCCTTAAAACAGTGCCCATTGCCTTTGTTCCTCCGGGTCTGGCCTTCTCCTTGTCACCTGAGTCCTCCGCTCTACCCTCGGCGACCGAGCCTTCAACCACAATGGCCCGAGGCTCTGGAACTCCCTTCCTCATTCCCTTTGCCTCGCTCCCTCTCTTCCTATTTTCAGGTCTCTGCTGAAGACCTTTCTTTTTAACCGCGCCTTTGGTCACCTTCCTCCCCCTCCCCCTGGCTTGGGCCCGTTACTGTGAAGCGCTCTGAGACACTGTCCGGCGTGGAGGGCGCTATATAAATCCATGCTGTTGTTGTAGATGGGTATTTGCGGAGGACAAGATTGCAGGGCTATGGAGAGAAAGCAGGCCAGTGGGATTGAGTTGGATTGCTCTTTTCAGAGCCAGGGCAGACACGATGTGCCGAATGGCCTCTTTCTGCGCTGTATGGTTCTATGATTCTATAATTAGGGCAGATGGCCGCAATGGGTCAAATGACCTCAAACTGTGTCATACTATAGATGTCTATGGAAGTACCTTATAGAAGCACAAGTGTGACTCAGAAAATGATATGACAGGGGCCAATAGCAAAACGAGAGCACAAACCAACTAAGGCCAACAACGCTCAGTCCATAACCCCAGAATAACTAATAGGTGAGAATTAAGACAGACCGCATGGTTGTATTATTCTGTAATGAGTACATTTGTGAAAAGCCATTAAGGAATTGTTTGACAAGCACAAGAATAACCCCAGGACTTCACCAACCATCCCTTCTTCACAGCCACAGAGAGCATTAAAGTGACAGTTAGTACAGACCCTATGAGGCACAGCTGGAACAGCTGCTTGGTTTTGGAGGCCCCAGAGGTTGCAGCGAATGCGGTCATTAGTGACCAGGACCTAGATAGTGGCCTAGCTGAGGAGCTAAGAGGAGCTACTGGTGGCCTACATTGACTAAGTGTGCTGCTGCTCCATAGTGAGGCAGGAACCATACCTGGAGCCCTTCAAATCGCTCCTGCAGGTTGCTTTGATCTGATAATTGGATTTTACGGAAACGTTCTTCCTCTTCCAAGTGCTGCATCTGAATCATCTCCATACGTGTCAGGATTGTATGTGGGGAACCAATGGCGGTCCACCTGCAACAAAGGAGAAAGATTGAATGCACAGGATTGGGAGATGCAACACTCACACTCACAGCGCACACTACAATCACACCACAATGATAGCACACACCACACTCATACCATACTCACAGCACACTCGCGCCACTCGCACCATACTCACCCCACACCCACTGCACACTTGCACCACAATCACAGCTCATACCACAATCACAGCACACACACTCACAGCACACACCACACTCACAGTCCACAACACATGAAGATGAGGCTCCAAAACTACAATATCAAGTTCAGATATACTCCAGGGAAGCAGTTGTGCATAGCAGACATGTTATGCAGGGCAGCATGGAAAGGATGTCAGGGCCTTGGAGAGGGTGCATAGGAAATTTACCAGAATTATTTCAGGGATGAGGGACTTCAGTTATGTGGAGAGACTAGAGAAACTGGGATTGTTCTCCTTAGAGCAGGGAAAATTAAGGGGAGATTTAATATGGGTGCTCAAAATTCTGATTTTTCAAGCCTATTGGGAAAGTGGAATTAGTTGGGAAGCTCTTTCAAAGATGGGCACAGGCATGATGGGCCAAATGCCCTCCTTCTGTGCTGTAAGATTTTATGATACAAAAAGAAAAAGAAGCAAGAAATAAGTCCATAAGTCCAAAAGCCAAGAAAAAAATATGTATGCATGAGGGAATCCTACTTAAGGGAGATACGGTTGATAATTCCAAAGGAAATTAAAAGAAAAGTATTAAAGAAGTGCTCTCGAGCAGAGAGCCCAGGAACGTGAGGAGGGAACGGTGTGAGGAGGAACAGAGTGAGAATGCTGTTTGGGAATTAGGTGAGAGTGGGAATTCGGTGCAGAGGGAGAATTCGGTGCAGAGGGAGAATTCGGTGCAGAGGGAGAATTTGGTGCAGGTGAGAAATTGTAAAGGAGAAACAAAACCCCCAAGAGCCTGCACAAAAGGTCACATTCCTGTGGTGGTAGGTGTTGAGTAGGCGTTTAGTATATAAGGAGTGTGAGCAAGGGAATAAATGGTGTGAAATTACTTATTTTTAACTATTTACCCCGAAACTGTTGAGATATATTACAAAACATGTCTAAAAACCTGGCAGGGCAGCTGAGACCCATCATGCACACTGTGTGCCATATGGGAACTCCAGGATGGTTCATGTGTTCTGGACAAACGTGAGTAGGAAGTGCCACCGGCTGCTTGAGCTACAGTCACTACATAGGATACGGGAGGCTGAAGAATTTATGGATCAAACTTTTCAGGAGGTGGTCACTCCACAGCCACAGAGAGATCAAGAGGTGGTCACTCCACAGTGATGGAGAGATCAGGAGGTGGTCACCCCACAGTCACAGAGAGATCAGGAGGTGGTCACCCCACAGTCACAGAGAGATCAGGAGCTGGTCACCCCACAGTCACAGAGAGATCAGGAGGTGGTCACCCAACAGTCACAGAGAGTTCAGGAGGTGGTCACCCCACAGTCACAGAGAGATCAGGAAGTGGTCACCCCACAGTCACAGAAAGATCAGGAGGTGGTCACCCCACAGCCACAGAGAGATCAGGAGGTGGTCACCCCACAGTCACAGAGAGATCAGGAGGTGGTCACCCCACAGTCACAGAGAGATCAGGAGGTGGTCACCCCACAGTCACAGAGAGATCAGGAGGTGGTCACCCAACAGTCACAGAGAGTTCAGGAGGTGGTCACCCCACAGTCACAGAGAGATCAGGAGGTGGTCACCCCACAGTCACAGAAAGATCAGGAGGTGGTCACCCCACAGCCACAGAGAGATCAGGAGGTGGTCACCCCAGCTACACAGAGGGCTCAGAAGAAGGGTGAGTGGGTGACCATCCAACGTGGAGCAAAAAAAGAAAAGGCAGTACAGAAATCCCCTAAGAGTGTGGCATTCACAAACCGGTTCTCGGTACTGGATACCAGTGAGGAAGCCTCTGGCGAGAAGAGTCAAAAGGTAATGGATGTTCAGGGGGACAAGGAGAAAAATGCCAACGCTGTTGTTATCAGTGATACAACAGTTAAAGGGATAGACAGGAGTTTCTGCCATAAAAGACGGGACTCGCGCATGGTATGCTGCCTCCCTGGGGCCAGGGTACATGACATCACAGAACAGGTGCAAAATATACTACAGGGGGAAGGGGAAAATCCGTAAGTTGTGGTCTATGTCGGGATCCATGATGTAGGTGATAAAAGACCTGAGACCCTACAGGGAGAATATCAGAAGCTTGGGAAGAAGCTAAAGAGCAGGACCTCAATGGTGGTGATCTCGGGATTACTCCCAATGCCTTATGCGAGTGAATACCAAACCAGGAGGATGAAACTCCAGCCTGGCTGGAGAAATGGTGCAGGAAGGAGGGCTTCAGATTTCTAAACCACTGGGACTACTTCTGGTGCAGATGGGACCTGTACACGAGGGATGGGTTACACCTGAGCAGGGCTGGGACCAATGTCATTGCAACAAGGATGGGGGATGGGGATCAGAATGTAGCATCAGGGAGGGGAAACGAGTTATACAGTGGACGAGGAGAGACAAATAGAAGTGAAACAAGGAATAGTCCAGCAAGAAGTGGAAAGAGACAGGGGAGAAATATAGAGCGGATTAAGCCGGTCTTGGAATGCATGTGTGTAAATGCACGGAGAGTGACCAATAAGCTTGGTGAGCTGCAGCTCAAGTTGCCACATGGGGCTATGATGTGGTGGCAATTACGGAGACTTGGCTCAAGCAAGGACAGGAATGGGAGCTGAATATTCCTGGTTACAACCTCTTCAGGAGGGATAGGGAAGGGAAAGAGGAGGAGGGCTGGTTATACTCATTAGGGACACGGTCACGATCCTGGAAAAGGACGATGTGCAGAGGGTCCAAAAACTGAATCTATTTGGTTAGAGTTAAGGAGCAGAAAAGGAGCTCTGTTAGGTATTTACTATAGACTACAGACCTCCAAATAGTGGGAAGGAGATAGATGAGCAAATCTGCAAGCAGATTTCGGAGATGCAAAACCAATAGAGTAGTGATAATGGGGGACTTCAATTATCCTAACATAGACTGGGAAACACACAGTGTAAAGGGCAAGGAACGGGAGGAATTCCTGAAATGTGTGCAGGAGAACTTTCGGATCAGCATGTTTCCAGCCCAACAAGGAAGGAAGCAGTGCTGGATTTAGTTCTGGGAAATGAAGTGGGGCAAGTGGAGCAGGTTTCAGTAGGAGAGCATCTGGATAACAGTGATTACAATATCATTAGGTTTAGAATAGTAATAAAAAAGGACAACAATCAATTAAAGTGAAGACCCTCAACTGGAAGTGGGCTAATTTCAGTGAGCTACAAAGGGACCTGGCCAAGATAGATTGGAAAGAAAGATTGGCAGGTAAGACAGCAAAAGAACAATGGAAAGCCTTCAAGGAGGAGATAGTTCGGGGAGAAAACAAATACATTCCCACAAAGGGGAAAGGTAGGACAGTCAAACCTCCCTGGATGACTACGGAAATTGGGATTAAAATAAAACAGAAACAGGAGGCTTATGATAAATGTCAGGTCCAAAACACACAGGATAATCAAATAGAACGTAGGAATTACTGAGGAGAAGTGAAAAGGGAAGAAAGAGGGGCGAAGAGATTGTACGAGAAAAGATTAGCAGGAAACATAAAAGGGAAACGTAAGGTATTTTATAAGCATATCAAGAGTAAAAGGTTAGTTCAAAGATAGGGTGGGTCCAATTAGGGACCCCAGTGGAAATCTTCTTGTGGAGGCAGAGGGCATGGCTGATGTACTAAATAACTACTTTGCAACTGTCTTCACAGAAGAAGACGATGCAACCAATGCCACAATATCGCAGGTGTGTGAACATAAATTGGATTTGATAAAAATCAACAGAGAGGAGGTACTAAAAAGGCTGTCGGTGCTCAACATAGATAAGTCCGGACGGGTTGCATCCTAGGTTACTGAGGGAAGCAAGGATGGAAATATCGGAGGCTCTGGCCACAATCGTTCATAGAATCATAGTTCAATCCTCTTTGGACACTGGAGTGGTGCCAAAGGACTGGAAGGTTGCAAATGTTACGCCCCTGTACAAAAAGGGGCAGAAGGATAAACCTGAGAACTACAGGCCAGTCAGTCTAACATGAGTAGGAGGGAAACTTCTGGAGACTATAATCCGGGACAATATAAATTCTCACTTTGAAAAATATGGTTTAATTAAGGACAGTCAACACGGATTTGTTAAAGGCAGATCGTGTCTGACAAACCTAATAGAATTTTTTGATGAAGTGACTGAGAGGGTGGATGAAGGTAGTGCAGTAGACGTAGTTTATCTAGATTTTCAAAAGGCATTTGGCAAAGTGCCACATAAGTGACTTTTAAACAAAATAGAAGCCCACGGTATTAAAGGGACTGTGACAACATGGATCCAGAATGGCTGGGAGACAGAAAGCAGAGAGTGGTTGTAAACGGTTGCTTTTCTGACTGAAGGGAGGTGTGTAGTGATGTCCGTCAGAGGTCAGTATTGGGACCACTGCTCTTTCTGATCTATATTAATGATCTGGACCTGGATATAGGGAACACAATTTCCAAATTTGCAGACGATACTAAGCTAAGAAAAGTAGTTAATAGTGAGGAGGATAGCACCAGACTCTAAGAGTACTTAGACAGAATTGTAAAATGGGCAGAAACGTGGCAGATGAGGTTTAATGTGGAGAAATGCAAAATGTTGCATTTTGGTAGGAAGAATGAGGAGAGGCAGTTTAAGCTGATGGTACAATCTTAAAGGGGGCAAATGAACAGAGAGACCTGGGGTCCACATAAGCAAATCTCTGAAGGTGGTGGGACAGGTACCATCCTGGTAAACCTCCTTTGCACCCTCTCCAATGCCCTAACATATTTCGTAAAGTGAGGTGCCCAGAACTGAATGCAGTAAAAAAGCTGTTAAAAAAGCATACGGGATACTAGGTTTTATGAATAGAGGCATAGAATTCAAAAGTCAGGAGGTTATGTTGAATATT